AAATCAGAACAAGCTGAATAAACACTAATTCTATTTTTAAAACAATTAATCGCTCTTACTTAAATCATGGCTATGTTTCTATGAATGTTTATGCCTGCAGCCTTCTGCAGCAGAATTCTTGAAGCAGCAATCACAAGCTGCTGTTCTCCGGAGTAGTGAAAATCCAGCAACAAAAGACTCGTGACTGAAGTGTGGGATCAGATGATCAGTTCATTCAAGATTAGAAACACAGTGAGAATAAAACCCATGCAATTACCTTTCCCTCCTTCGAAAGGGAGGGAGGAGAGGAAGGGATCCGAGTACCTGTAAAGAGGGCGTGGTAATGCAGACCCTTCTCTTTATCCTCATGAGAGCAGACATCAAATAAATACGCTTTGATGGGGCCATCAATAAAATCAGCTGCAAAATCAAAAAGCACTACTCCCAGCATCGTAACGACTATTGCCCACGTCCGCCGCTTGTCTCTCTCACCGATGAAAGCTACAAAAAGAAAAACACCCTCATTCTGACAGCAACAGTGCCATGTTCTGCAAAACCACATTTTATCTTTCCTGATACCTCCAGGTCTAAACAATGCTTAGTTAGGCAAGAGAGAGCAGCGATACCAGCATCACATCAGAGAAGCGGGGTAACCGAGTCTGTGGAGCTCTGAGCTCTTCTAGGTTGACTTACTGCCTTGAGTCAGCGCAAGCTCAGGGTACTCCACACTTCACAATCAAGAGCATCACTAGCCTTAACCTACTCCTTTGCAACTTCATGACATGCTCTGGTAGCCTAATACACGTGCATCTTGTAGTACTTTTTTGTCTTACTCTATTCGTCCCACCTTTTCCCTGGTTTAGATAATCAAGAGCTGACTGTAACATCAGACAATCAAGGCAAATGAATACAAGTATATTCAACACCCGTGATATCCAGGAAGAGGGAACAAATCAATCCATAAAAACACACACCTCCCCCCGCTGCCAAGTCATAACGACAGCAACAACTTCCCATCAAGACTCTGAGAAGTTACATCTCAAGCTGAAACATAACAGTGTCTAGGGATGTCATTCCTATTTGATTTTGCGTCTTCCAGGTGCAACGTGGTTTCCAAGGAGTTGCAGATAGTTCTAATATTCACCAGTGTAACACAGTTCTGAGGCAAGGCAGTGCTGCAGCAATTAAAGATATTTTGAATGTTAATCCATCTAAAATAGGGATTAACAGATACTCATTCTGGATGTGTATTACATAACACAAACAACACTGATCATTTAACTTAAAAAAGTAGATTTTAGTTTGTAAAAACTTCTCCAGGCCTAAGCAGTGCTTTACTTGTATGAACTGAGCAGGCAACGACACCACCACACAACATTCTGTAGTCACACGCAGAAACGACAGAGCACTACGTACAGGGTACATGACGTGGTCTTAGGACTGAACATGTACGAAGATCTCAGCATTCCCCAGCTCCTTCAATGCCACTGAGTAACGTGATACCGATTTTAATGGTCCGTGTTAGCAGGGAAAGAAGGAACCCTTCTTTTATTTTTGATTCAAAAGGCTAGGATGAGTTTTGTCTGTCGGTACAGCGTACGCCCCTCACTCACCTGAGATCATCTCGTCCCCATTGAGGTACAAAGTCATGCCCAACAGCATTACGATCCCCAGACCCAGAATGTAAGGTCTCCTCCTGCCCCAGCTGCAGGTGCAGTGATCGCTGGCCGAGCCCACCACGGGCTGCAGCACGAAGCCCAGGACAGGGCTGATGAGCCACACCAGACTGTAGAGGTTCTTGGGCAGCCCTACGCTGAGCAGCACCGGCGTGACAAAGGCGGCCTCCACGGCGTAGCAGAATTCCCGGCCGAACATCGCCATGCTGTGCATGACCAGCCTTCCCACCGCTTGCTTCCCAGGTGCCACCGCTCCAGTCCTCGTCACAGGCTGCAGCAGAGCATCCTCCTTCTCTCCGGTGTGGTCCATGTCAGCCTTGGCCACCTCAGAAGGGGGTGGAGGAGCCCCCTGGAAACTCTCTTCCGTTAAGGTCATCGCTCTGGCTACGCGCAGCGCGCCGGCAGGTCGGTGCTGCCTGTCCTGGCTGACATGGAGCCCAGATCATATGCCGGGTGGGATCGGTCTGTGCTGGGGGAGGGACTCACATACTTTCATGGCTCTGTGATCACAAGTTATGAAAGGAAGGGGGCGGGGAAGCCCGCGTTAACATTAGCAGATCTGAGCTCTTGGGCGCCTGCAAAGCTCCCAACCTTCCACAACTGAAGAACTACTGTTCAGGCACGAAACACACACATAATGGGAACGCGCATCACATGGGCGAGGCGCAGGATTAGCGACACAAAACTGTTCCTCTTGTTGCTGTCAGACAGCGGTGATACCAAGAACCCAGAGCTCTCGCCTTCCCGACCAGCAAACATCAACACCCGACAGAGAGCCAATGTCCTGTCGACCGAACGGGGGGGGAAAGAATCTCTAATCCATGTCCAGAAAAGGATTTCAATGCACTTCATGAAGACAAGTAAGCGAACCTACCTATTGGTCTAGGGTGTTAGTGGCAGATAAAAACCTTGACAGACATCTGTCAGACAGCAACTGGTGCTTTTTTTTTTTTGTATCTGCTGTGTGCCACCCTCAACACAACTGATTATTTTCTTGGTTTCTGAAAAACAAAGGACATCAGGATCACATAGGGTTTCTTTCAACAGTCTTAGCTGCCAAGGGAAAGCCTTAAGAGAAATCTGTAGTGACAAACCAAAACTGTACCTGTCAGGGTAGCCACCCGAGTGAGGCAGCTGATTCATCCTACGCAGAATCACAGAGTCATAGAATAGTTGGGGTTGGAAGGGACCTTTAAAGGTCACCTAGTCCAAGCCCCCTGCAATAAGCAGGGACATCTTCAGCTAGAGCAGACTGCTCAGAGCCCCATCCAACCTGGCCTTGAATGTTACCAGGGACTGGGCATCGACCACCTCTCTGGGCAACCTGTGCCGCTGTTTCACCACCCTCACTGTAAACAATTTCTTCCTTATATCCAGTCTAAATCTGCCCTCTTTTAGTTTAAAATCACTACCCCTTGTCCTTTCGCAACAGGCCCTGCTAAAAAGCCTGTCCCCATCTTTCTTGTAAGCCCCCTTTAAGTACTGGCAGGACGCTCTAAGGTGCTCCCGCAGCCTTCTCTTCTCCAGGCTGAACAGCCCCAGCTCTCTCTGCCTTTCCTCACAGCAGAGGTGCTCCAGCCCTTGGATCACTGCTGTGGCCTCCTCCGGCCCCGCTCCCATAGCTCCCTGTCTGTCCTGTGCTGAGGGCTCCAGAGCTGCACGCAGGACCCCCAGTGGGCTCTCACGAGAGTGGGGCAAAGAGGCAGAATCCCCTCCCTCGACCTGCTGGCCATGCTGCTGGGGATGCAGCCCAGGGTACGTTTGGCTTTCTGGGCTGCGAGTGCATATTGCTGGGTCACGTTGAGTTTCTCATCAACCAACACCCCCAAGTCCTTCTCTGCAGGGCTGCTCTCAATCCCTTCATCCCCCAGTCTGTATTGATCCAGGGGGTTGCCCTGATCCAGGTGCAGGACCTTGCCCTTGGCCTCTTTGAACCTCATGAGGTTCACACATGGGCCCACTTCTCGAGCTTGTCCAGGTCCCTCTGGATGGCGCCCCGTCCCTCAGGCGTGGTGACCGCAACACTCAGCTTGGTGTCACCTGCAAACTTGCTGAGGGTGCACTTGATCCACTGTCTGTGTCATTGATGAAGATGTTAAACAGCATTGGTCCCAGTACGGACCCCTGAGGTTAACCCCTAACATTAACTTCTTAGTTTAAGAAGTTCTTAAACTGAGTTCAGCGATTTTGGGGTCAAAACTTCAGTGCACTGGGGATTAGATTTTACAACCTTTATTGTTCTCCAACACGATCAGATGCATCTGGGACTCAGCAAATTGTCAAACCTTCTGTAATGGTGTATAGTATTCAGTAATTTATATTACAGTGATAATTAGCTGGAAACTTAAGATGCTTTTGCTGATTGTTTATCTAATTTGTCAGGACCTGCTAGAAGATTCTTGTTTCCAGGCAGGTGTTTCTGTAGTGGAGTGTAAAAGGCTTTTTTATAGTAATAATGTTGACATTTTGGCATGACACATAAAAAATGAGCTAAAGCACATCTCAGCTTTGGAAGTCTTTCTAAGCAACAAACTAATCTTCAGCAAGGTAAAATTCTGACAAAATTATCAAAAAACCTAATCCCTCATATTGTAACTCCTGACTAAAGAAAACTCTATTAAGGCCATATAACTACATCTTTTTAAAAGCTTTTAATTTTTTTCCTGGAAGGAGACTGTTTCAAATGATGGTTTAATTTTGAAGTAAATCAAAACCACCATGGAATAACCATTGTTTAAAACCTGTACAGCTAAGTTGCCTGTCATTTTTCCAAAAAGAGAGGAGAGATTTAACATTTGGCAGCTATTCTAAAATAATAAATTTTGTTCTGAAGTGATTTTCTAGGCAAACTGAAATTCCAAATGTAATATAAAATGTAGCCAGACTATTAAGTAGAATTACTTTACGATAATGTCTCTACAGCAGCACATAAGAAAACAGCATTATTTTGATCGTTGCTTTTGCAGAATAAGGCAAATGAACTAATATGTGATAGAGGAAAAAAATCCCTTCTAATCTATAAGTAAACAACACAATCACTTGTTTAGGAAGAATATAACTATATTTTATGAAAAGTACTGCCTTCATGTAATTACAACATATATTACAAAGCAACTGTGTAACTAAGAATTGAAAGAAACAAACATTTCACAGGATATGATATTTGAAGAAAGATTTTGAGGATTTACATCCACTTACGAAGCAAACTGTGTAGATCTTCAGAATATGGTTTTGGTATCATTCTAGACTGCAGACCATCAAGGTACACAAGTACATAACTCCAATTGATTTCAATTAAATTTAAAAAATCAGTATTTTTTAAAATTATTTAAAAGGTGTATTATGCAAACATTTAGTTGTCATATAATTCAATTTTAATGCATAAAAATGTTCTGTATCAGCCTGAAATTTGTCTGGTCTATGTAGTTAGAGATTATAAATTAGCTTTTGGATTACAGCATTCTATTACTTTATCAGAATAAAGTTTAGTAATCTCTTGCTTAGTAAATCCATATTCTAGAAGTATCTCTTCTGTGTGTTCTCCTATAAAAGGATCTCTTTGAAACGATGGAACAGCAGGGGTCCTTGATAGAAGAGGAGCAGGTCTAGGACTTATCTCTTCCTGATCATTTTTAATAAAAGAACTTCTTTGTTTGTTATGCTGATGTGAGGCAACCTCATCAAAGGATAAAACAGGGGTCACACAGGCATCAGTACCATCAAATATGCTGCACCACTCGGCTTGTGTCTTCTGTGCAAATATGGATGCAAATTTTTCCTTCATTTTGGGCCAGTCGGAGAAACTCAACTGGCTGGGAAGTTTCTCTGAATCCAGCCCAAGACCTGAAAGGAGAAAAGCAAAGTCTAAGTGTAGTATAGCTTAGATAAATCAAAGTGCTGCCCACAATGTAAGTATGTTCCCTGAGAAGCTAACCTTTTTGCAGGCAGTCCAGCACAGCAGAGCATATTAACTAAAAGTCACTTCAAACTTTATTACGATATCTATGATTGAGTGGGAGGGAGCAGAGGGATAAAATGTTCTGTTACTTGCAATTAGACTAAGCCACATCAGCTACAGCCTTTTAAATAAGTACATATAATAAACACTCATTTGTATGAACACTTCATAAGACCAGCAGCTGCCTGGAGATAACATTTTGTCCTGAGAACATTTTCTGTAATAGGTATTGTATGCTCTACCTGGTAGCAGCAACACTAAAGTCTGCTGAATGGGACTTGGACTACAGCAATATACTTATCTCATGGAAGCCCGTACATCTGTCAGTGCTGGACATTCACTAGGCTGCAGTGTGTCCAACACAATCAGGTTATTTGTATGCCAGACGTGAAAAGATGGTGTGGATGGATATACCCAGGCTTGATGTGCACAAGGCAGCTCAGCTGCAGGTGCCTGCAGGCTAACTGACCTGCTTCTGGACTCCCTCAGTCCAAACAGACTCCAGCAGTGTTTGCTGCTCTCCCCTCCTCAGTACACTTCCCAGGCTCCAACTGTCCACTGCTGCGCTTTTGGGAAAGAGAAACCCATAGCCCTCACACTCACCAACGGCTGAAGAACTCTGCTTCCCAGAAGATCAGCCACATGGACCACCTAGGTATGCAGTATGCACATCTCTTCTGAGACACCACAGCAGAAGGTGGACACATAGGCTGAAAATGCCCTGAACTAGGCAAGTCCTTGGGTCCTTCCCTTGACAAAACACCACCTTCCCTCCCACTGGGGAGTTCACATCTCTCCTGTGCAGACAGTTTCCATTCTCTGTTTCTGTTCTCACAGCTTCTGCTTTCTGCACTCCCTACCGTTCCATTCTCCTACTTCAAGGAGATGCAAGAATTGTTATCACTTCTTATAGGATTTATCTCAAAAAGGAGGAAAGAAACAAGAAAGAGAAAAGGCAAACCAAACTTTCAAAATGGAGAGAGTACAGAGGTACAGAGTCTATGATATTACACACAAATCAGAAGTGGTACATTGAAGGCTGTCCAAACAGTCACATCTTGAAAATCAGGAGCATGAACACAGCAGGAAAAATTCAGAAAAAGGATGGATAAGAAAGTAGTTAATTTGAGAAATCAGAAAGGCTAGAGAACAACTATCATCATCATGCTTCACAAACAACATAAAAAAAGAGCTGCTTAGAAAACAACAGCTCTGTGTAAACGGCAGAGAAAGTGTGGAGTTCTGCAAACATTTGATTTTGAGCATTCTTTCTTAAATCTTTGGATATCTGTTATCAGACTGACGATTTGTCTTGAAACTGTTAACAGGCTTGGCTATTAGATGCCTGTTTGCAGGCAGAATTTACACAGAACTCCTCTAATCTTTACCTGTAGATCGGCAGAAAGAAATTTGGTATCTTCTATTTCTACAGTTTTCTTATCACTGAGAGGTGTAGACATATAGCTACTGAAAGATGCAGGCGAGAAGAGAGGAAGACAGCGTCCATTCTTCCGCTCTTTAAGTTCGTTCTTTGTGCTCATAATCTCTACTACCTGCACTTCCTGGGGCTCATGGTCTCCCCCAGTTATCATAATATTTAAGAATTTCACTGTTGATCACAGTATTCTTAAAGAGTAGCTTTGAAAATGAACACATGCTTTGAAATCTTACTTTGGTACTGCAAAGCAAAACACAGAGAAATTACCGGTCTCCAGACTCAGAAATACAGCCTTGCAGTTGTTCGTGTTTACAAGAAAATCAACACAGTCAAAGACAGAATAAGCATTTCCACATCTTATTAGAGATTCCTACAGGTATCAAGGTAAGTATTGCTACAAGGTAAACATTCGTCCTTATCGAGTTACCAAGTCATGTGCACCTTAAATCACTAAATTTACAATTTCATCTTCATAACCATTCATATCACACTAAAACAAGCTCGGCTGAAGATTACTCATACTGGTGGAGCATCTGTAATTAAATAGAAGCTGATAATGCTTTCAAAATTAATTTGATTATTAATCTTCAAAGTATAATACTAAAGGTGAACAGTGCTATATAGTTTACTGAAGAACTAAGAGGTGAGGCAAACTTACCTTCCAAAATAGGTAAAGCTAATTAACAACACACTCTCTGAGACTCAGTCTTCACGCATGAAATCTTGTCAGTTGGAAACACTGTTTCATAAGTATTTGCTCATTAATTATGGTTTGGGTTCTAGTAGCCAGTCCAACATGAACAGAGCTCTACCATTATCCCATTACACAATCACATCTGAAGATTGTGCCAGATGGAAAGCTGGCTGAACCTAACCATACATGTTTCGCAAAACAGAACAATATGCAGAACTTGGAATTTAATATTACATACTCATTTTCCTTTGACCACTGAAGACTTCAACTTTAAATAGCATGAACCGACAGCATTTAAGCACTACAGCTTCTCATTTTCCAGCTTGTGCTAACTATTTGTGGTGCAGACGGACAGAAGCACAGTAGGAGAGACTGAGTCAACAAGGAAACAATTACACAGTACAGAATTATTTGGGATACCACAGGATGACAGATTTCACCCGACATAATCAAAAGCAACGTATCTTATACGCAGAATATCTGGTAAAGCAATCACAACTTGTTTCCAAGGGTTTTTTTGTTCAAATTTTCACCTAGGGATCTTTGTTCAGAAAAGCCCAGCAACTACCCTAGTACAGCTTTGGAATAACAAATTTTGAAAAAACGAAAAATTAAGTCTCCTTATAATGATATAGCTTCTAGTGTCCCTTAAATGCTACAGCTTTATTGACATATATCTGCATGTTATTTATTCATGCAACAAATTGCAATCTCTCTTTCTACAGAACTTCTTAAACTGCAATAAAATTAGTCACCTATTTCAAGAGAGAGAAAACAGTAAAATTTATTAGATAAATCAGCGAAGTTGCTTTAGTATGTTGGAAATCAACAGTTTCCTACACTATTTCAGTCATACTATTTTAAAAGCTTACTTACGATCCCTAGCAGAGCTTTGTTCAGGATTTTCTTGTTTTAAGTTGCTGGTTTACTTTCCAAAATTGTACGCTCATAGCACAGCAATTTTGAAACTATGTTGCCACAACTTGACTGAATAGAACCATACAGCGTGGGAATCCTTAGTTTTGGCCCATACCACAGCCGTAAGGTGTATGCCACTGCACTTTCAAAATATATTCATTCTCACTCTGAGAGGGAACTAACTTCAGAATACTGAAGTTTTTTCACTAAAGTAACTATGTAAAGTTTTTTTCTCTGCTCAAAGTTTCTGAAACAAAATACTTTTTTAGAATGTGACAGTTCAGCCAAAGGCTGATCAGGCCCAGTGTACTACCAGAGCATCGGTGCAAATGCATCCATAGCTGTACTCCAAGTTTACATATTTGATTACCACATTTTTCGTCCTGTAAGAACCTGCCCTCTACCATATTTGTACAATGTTTAAGGCTTATCGTGATAAGTAAATTCAAATAAAACTTAACATTATGTGTAACTGAGGATGTCTAAAATGTAATGAAGAAACTGTTCATCTGCTTTGCACATCCTAGTAACAACACTGTAATGAATTCAGTACATTAGCAGATTTTTAATACAGTACACAATACTTTACAATCACAAAATGGAGAGCCCTGTGGACAGCCTTCATAATGTACACTACGTTTTTCCAGTAGAAGTCACACATTCATAGAATCCTAGAATCATTTAGGTTGGAAAAGACCTCTAAGATCATCAAGTCCAACCGTCAACACAACACCACCATGCCTGCTAAACCATATCCCAAAGTGCCATGTCTACACACTTTTTCAACACCTCCACGGATGGAGACTCCACCACCTTCCTGGGCAGCCCGTTCCAATATCTGACCACTCTTTCAGTGAAGAAATTTTTCCTAATATCTGATCTAAACCTCCCATGACAAACTTGAGGCCATTGCCTCTCATCCTATCGCGAGCTGCTTGGGAGAGAGACCAACACCTGCCTCACTACAACCTCCTTTCAGGTAGCTGTAGAGAGTGATAAGGTCTTCCCTCAGCCTCCTCTTCTCCAGACTGAACAGCCCCAGCTCCCTCAGCGGCTCCTCATAAGACTTGTTCTCCAGACCCCTCACCAGCCTCGTCGCCCTTCTCTGGACATGCCACAGCACCTACATGTCCTTCCTGTAGTGAGGGGCCCAAAACCGAACACAGTACTCGAGGTGCAGCCTCACCAGTGCCGAGTACAGGAGGAGAGTAGGAGTATGTAGGAGTATCACAGTAGTATGAAAGGAGTACTATCAAATACAGGTTCAGAACTTTAGCGACTGTTAGTGCTTTTCACATCAATGTAAGTTAATACTAAGTTCACCTTATGCAACCAAGTTTAGACTACATGATAACACAGAATCAAACCTTTACTCTTACCCAATATACAGAATTTACTGTGTTCTGCACACCTCTTGTAGCCTGGCTAGAGCAATACTCAGCACATATTGCTAAAAATCAAGAGAAACCTGTAGAAGCAATTTACAGGTCAGTTGGAAGACATTTTGTCTCTTTCTGTCAAAACATTGAGACTTAACATAAGTAGCACATGTTTCTTAAATCAGATTTTTCATAAGATGCAAGGGTATTTTAGTTATTTATTGGCTGATCTTGGTAGTAATAAAATTAATGTAAGCAAAAGGATTATAGCATGTTTGTTAACAACACGTAGTCTATAGAGAGCCCAGAATGCAACTCCTAATACTACAGCAATTATTTTCCCTATCTATTTTAATATTGCTTCAGTTTCTCATAAAACCTTTTTGTTTAAAATTCATAAATTTGCGGTAAGCAGAAATTTAATTTTCCCTGCTGAGCACATCTACAAAGCCAACAATCTTCTCAAACTAAGATGCCATTTGTTTTTAAACTTAGTTTCCCTCCACAGAACCCTGAAGTACTTTCCTCGCCATGTCATTAACTGCACTGTGGTCCAGCACTGCGTTCCTAATTCTGCAGCGAAACACTGAAGTGAACCAAAACGAAAAGGAAATTAGTTTCACTTGGTCTAACCAGAATTCTGTGAGCAGTGTCAAATGGTTCAGAAATCACGTTCCTTCCTCAATTCTGCAATCTTTAAATCTCCAACTCTTACATCTGCAACAACCGTATCCTTGTATTCTCATTACATAGGAGCAGCAAAAGCAACCTACTCTCTGAATATAGACAGAGAGACATAAAGCAGCTTTTGGATATATTTTATCTGGAACAGCACCAAACTGCTCACCAGCAGAACTGACCAGAATTATGGGAAAAAACTATGAAATAAAATTATGGAAATTGCAACTGGAGCATACCGTTTTAAAACTATTTCAAAGTAGTGAATTAATGCTTTGAACAGACGACTCAGCCTAAGTCAAAGCTCCTCAGGTTTGTGAAAAAGTAATACAATTCTCACAAGCAGCTTTCTCTTCCCTATAACATTCAAAGGCTTAAATGCTTAACTGAATGTCTGTAACAGATACCCCAGAAAGGAAAAAATCCCCAAGCCACAAGAATAATCTGCTGTTCTAATTTAGTACACTATTGCTTCAGAAAGCTTGCAACCATAAGGACTGAAGGTGGTAAATATTTCCTATGTGAAAATCTGAAAAATTCACAATATGCATCTAAAAAACAATGAAGAAAGACCACTTCTTTTAAATGCAACATTGTGAAAAAAATCTTGAGTTTGGTCTGATCCTTTAAACAACACGTTTTTACAAAATAAACACAGAAAAACTGTTGACTGTATATAAAGACTGTGCTACAATTAAAGGCAAAAAGCAATATTTCCTTAGAAGACTATAGTCTGTATGTCGGATTTTTTCAATATGACAGAAACAGACTGGAACACAGGTATGGCTGTGAATGTACTTGTTGTCTACTTACAAATAGATACACCAGTTCTTTAACACTGGAATAACTATTTTTGAAACTTCAGCTGTTAAAATCAAGCCATTTCTGTGCATTGTAAGCATTAGGAATACTTTCAAACATGAAAATAAAGTTGCCCAAAGTAGATGCCTCAATACAGGCAGATGAATTTATAGTTGCTGCTCGAACTTTATGCTCTAAATTTCTGAGAAACCACTAAGAGGCAAATAGAGAATTGTAGCATCTTCCTCAGCAAAGAGTTATATAAATAAGACAGAGACTGGTTAGTGATCATGTTATATTGCCTGACTACTGGATTCATCCATCACAGGCTTCTTTCTAGATAAACTGGCTGGCTGGTTGAGAGAAAAGCCTGAGTCTTGCCCTGTAGCAACAATCGATACAAGAAGGCTGGAGTGTCCAGCAAAGGTTCACTGAGAAGAATAGTGACAAACAAGACCAGACTCCATTACAGAATTTTTATTTTTTTTTAATAAATACAGATTCCATCCCATGCTTGTAGCTTAAAAGTAAGTGCTACTCAATCTTTAGAGAAGAATAAAATACTGCAGGCCAGTGTTTGATCATTTTAAGCCAAACATAGGGGTATTTGAGTAGGGCAGCTTTATTCTTTTCTTTTTTCTTTTGCATTTAATATAGGCATTCTCCCTGAAGACATGTACTGGAATTCCAAATTCCCTAACTTCCAGAGCAAGGGCTTACATTTTGCTTTGATACAGTTTTACATTTATTTTTGTTACTCAACTCTGTTTCTGGCAAGCAAAAAAATCTCAAGGGACTGGATGAGAATAACATTTGAAAGAACTACAAAGTGTGGAATAATCAACTATACTTTCTTCTTCAAGGTTGAGTAGCTTAGAACTGGAGTTTGCAAACAAGTTATTCTCTGGACAAGGATGGACACAGTACCAGCTCCTTCAGCCAAGAACATGGGTCTTCCAAACTTGACATACGACCTAGGGGCAGCACATAATGCTGGACATGTCCCTGAGTCACTCCAGGAGCCTGTCTTACAAGTTTGATGTATCACCATGTACCAATTTGGACATTCTATGCCATTGCACAGCCCTTTTCAAGCTACACAGAGAAGCAGCCATTTACAGGCACAGACGTGCAAGAATTTTTGGAGCACCACAGGCTGCAATACAACAAAGGCAATCTCTCTTTGGGACCCTCCTCACCAAAGGCACACCCCACCTCACAACCCCATACTTTCATTTCATCTCACCATGCTCCTGAATTTCAAAAGCTCCTGGAAGTGCAGACCCTGGCACTGACTAAGCTCATTAGCACAACAGAGCTGACTGGGGCTGAGCTGGCAGTAACTGCCTGTGAGAGGAATTGTCATGGTTTAACCCCAGCCAGCAACTAAGCACTGCACAGCCCCTCACTCACTCCCCTTCCCCCCAGTGGGATGGGGCAGAACTGGAAGAGTAAAAGTGAGAATGAAACTCATGGGTTGAGATAAAAACAGTTTAATAATTACAAACAAATAACAATAATGAAAAAAATGTAAGGAAAAGAGGGGAAAAAATAATAACAAAGAGAGAGGAAAATAAAACCCAAGAAAGACGAGTGATGCAAACAAAAACAATTGCTCACCATCAACTGATCGATGCCCTGCCAGCCCCCGAACAGTGACCCCCCTCCCAAACTTCCCCCCATCTTTACTGCTGAGCGTGACACCGTGTGGTGTGGGACACCCCTTTTGTCGGTCGGGGTCGGCTGTCCTGGCGGTGCCCCCTCCCAGCCCCACTGGCACCCCCAGCCCACTCGCCGGTGGGGCGGTGGGAGGGGCAGGACAGGCCTGGGCTCTGTGAAAGCACTGCCCAGCAGTGACCAAAACACCCCTGTGTTACCAACACTGCTTCCAGCACTAATCCAAACCATAGCCCCTTACTGGCTACTGTGAAGAAAATTAACCCTGTCCCAGCCAGACCAGCACAGGCATCCATGCTACAATTCAAAGAATAATTAGTGGAGAGAGACTGAGGAAGAACAAGATGCTACTCCACTGCCACCTTCACTCAGCAAAGATTCACCGCATGTAAGTCATGCACGTACACAAGAGTTTTACGCTGGCTGCCTCCACTGTAGGCATATCCTTTGTTGGTACTCCTTCTATTCATTAAGCAAAACTAAACTAGATTAAGAACTTCTTATACCCTTCATATTCAGAATAATGGAAAGAGAAAAAAAAATTCTTCTGTGAAATTTTTGTATTTCCATAAAGTCTGTATGCAAAGCATAGCGATCTACCAAAGAAGCACTACAGAAGAAATTATTTTTAAATTAAATAACCAGTAAGAAGCTAAGAGCACATCTGATCACAAGCTTGAAGCACACAAGCATGTGCAAATTTTTTAACTTCACATAATTGTTTTGCATGACCCATCCTAATTTCTCAAATGATAAATCATATTTTACAGTCATATTTAAAAAGTCTTCAGTTTATTCAGACTCTGAGATTGTGGTGGAAATTAATTAATAAAGGTGACTTTGCTTCTAGAAAAATTCCGTTCTATCAAGAAATATTATGAATTACTTCCAATGAACATTCATTTCTGAAACAATCTGAATACATTCTTTCTAAAAAAAATTATAGCACAAATAACTGACATTGCTTGAAATTTTATTTGCAATACTAAAGAATTAGGTCTCCTTTTTAAACTATATTCACAATCCCTTGGAAAAAAGTGGTTTCCAGAAATAGTTGTTAGTGGTCCTGCCACATCACAGACTACTATTACCACAACTCCAAAGAAAACCTGTAATTTAAGTGTAGTTTCTGAGGGTAAGGTGAAGAAGGGATGAAAAAGAAATAAATCAATTGCTAGAAGAAAGTCAACTAAACTGCTACACTACTATCCAATTAGTTTCAAGAAGTGTTTGCTTTTACAAAGACATCAACATAACCAACGACATAAAACAAAAGCAAGTACTAAAGAATTCATTCAATCATGCTTTGCTGATGTGAAACAACTGCTCCAAGCTACTTACCCTTTATTAACTGCTCATAGAATTGAGGCTCTATGGCACCAACAGCCATATATTTTCCATCGGAGGTCTTGTAGGTTTCATAAAAAGGTGCACCGCTATCTAGCAGGTTCTCACCTCGAGGTCTGTTCCAAAGTCCCAGATTTTGTGATTTCCATATGAAAGAGCTGAGGTATGCTACTCCTTCTACCTTGATTTACAGGAAAAAGTAACAGCTTCAGTAAATTAAGTTGCCATGTTAACTTAATTCTACATAAAACAAAACACCAAAAAACTACTACCAGTTCTGTCCTTTCTTAAAATTTTTAATGACAAAATCTCTGGTAAGCAGTTTAATTTCTTAAAATTTTCAATTACTGTTTATATTGCATACATGAAATAATCTAGAATTAGAGAATAAGAAGGACCGTAAACGTCATAATGCAGCTTCAGATGGATAACACACTGTCAATGGACAAAGTTTCCTAGTTTAGCAAGTTTATAATCATTAGGAGCTCACACAGAGACTGTAAGCAATTTTAAGTGATGGGACAAGCTTCTTGGCTCTATAGAACATTAAGTATCTAACACCCATCAAGCCTTCTCACCTCTGGAAATCAAGATGCCTATACCAGTCCTGTAAGTATTAATTTTTATCTCAACATTAACTTATTTGAAATTTACTGATTATAATAAAAATGCTATTTTTAGAAGAAAACCGGAAGGAAATAAAAGGTTAAAGCTCTCTTATACCACCAGAACTGGGAAGCTCATCTCCATCACTAAGTTAAAACAAAAATTATTCGCCCACTCTTATCACTGGCAGGTACATAGACATAGCAAGGTAAACTCTAAATAGGCAAATGTCTAACGAATACACCACTAGAAAACATGATTAATCCTGTTCCAACTTGCTCCTTAAAATTTTGGCTGACTACAACCAGACAAAAATTCAGTTTGTTCATCCTTTCAGTAATTATCAAGCTTGTACCAGTCTTTCTGAGCAAAATCACATCTTACAGTTTTGCTTGCCAGCAGAACCCATTTTCTTCCAACTGCATTAGAAAAACTTAAAGAGAAGATGAGGCAGTAAGAGTATATGGCCAGAAACATTCCAGTGGAACAGTGAAAAACCTGACCTGTGATTTTGAGTTTCACTTGGATTCATACCTTTTCAGCTGTGTAAAATTAACCTAATATTGTCTACAGAGAAAAGCACAGAGATTGTACCAAAATAAAAAAGCTACTGAATTTTCGTATGGAAACATCTACTAGTTTCTACCTTTCCAAGCAAGAATTTAAAACATGCAGATCTCTGAAGTATGCAGTCATGAAGACTTCTTCATTTAATGTGTATTACTTGGCCTCTTTCTCAAATACCTGCCACAAGGACAGGAGCACTTCTGCCCTACTTGTTATATCTTAAAGTCAATTATTTGTTTTGAGAAAATACTGTATACCTTCATGTACATGTCTGCAAAATGATCGCAAGTATATCAAAATATCATTTGCTTTACTAATGATCTGATCTTACACTGTTCATATTAACAAAAAAATACACAAAAAACATTGGAAGAAAGGATAATAATAGATGGGGATAATACCCGAATAAGCTCTAACTGGAAATTAGATTTTGGTGCTGGCGAAACTACTGACAACCCCTACGTACAGTGCTACCTACACTGGAAACACTTAAAACAGCACATCTGTCTTGGACTGGTGTAGGGACTTTAGAAATATCCCTGACTGGGCAACTGGACAGCTAGCTTCTGCCTGAGGCCCACTGCACCTCGGAGACAAGTAAAAAAGTGTCTAACATCTGCACCAAACCTCTGAAGGTATGCTCATATAACACCACACACACACACCAACATTGTCATTGTCTTTTAAAACATGAAAAGGACCACATGAGGAGACTCCACTGAAGCCTAACTGCAGCATGGTTATAGTAACAGTGACGTGTTTCACTTAATGGCTCCCTCGTGCTAAAAGCACCAGCAGCCTCCGAGGCAGCGACAGGAACCCACAGGCACCACTCCGCTGCATGACCTGTCTGCTCTGCAAGTCTTCCGTTCCTTCTGCAGAGTGAAACAGTTCAAACAAAACTGAGAATTAACCCACACCACCCTAATCTTTATCCTCGTGACTGATGAATGCCTCTAGGATGTGGGAGTATTGGTTTTTAATATCGCCAGGCTGAGAAAAACCCAGAACCCCAGTCTTCCGTGGGACAGCTAAATCCTCTTGCCATGAGACTATTATGCAAGTGATATTACTCCCATCCTCTCCTGTGGCTGTCTTTCCACACAGAGTGAGTCATGCTTGGTCAGATGCCTACCACCAGCAGAAGGCTCTGTTTCCAAATTTGGAGTGAACTTGAAGCGTGGCCCTGACTCACACGCCTCTGTTCCACTGTGGTGCAAGCGTGCAGATGTACAACTGTGCCTACCGTATCACATCGCGGTGTCCACTCCACATCCTACTCAGCACACGGGAACTACCAGGCTCACTGCAAGACACCTACGATCCCTAGAGAGCCAATAAGAAGAGACAGCAACTACCACGAATCAAGTCAGCCCAGGTATTTAATTCTTCTGAGGCAGACAGCTGAAACGCAGGACCCAGTGTCTACTTTTTAGGCAGAGCAACAATAGCACAGGACACTGTGAATAAGCGATGCAAATCTAGCCCTTCACCTGACACTCTCTTCCCTCTTTCTGTATCAGTTTAGTTTCACTAAACAGCAGAGTTCCTCATGTGTATATTATTGATCATAAGAATGCTCCCAAGCCATTTTTTCAGCTTTCAGCATAGTAATTAGAAATAAAAGATAAATAACAAATTCTTCTATCACAAAAATTCAGATCTCCATCTAGAATTCCCAACTCAAAGACAGGAAATAAGTAACTTTTCTAGATGACTTCAGAAAAATGTACGTTGCAATAAAAGGAAAAAACAAACAAGTGATCAGCAAAACAACTGAAGTACAATGAAAACTAAACATAAGTAATCCTGAAGATAAAAAGCTGCTAAAAAATAAATTAATTTTCCCTCTTCTACTGTACAAAACTCCACCATGTGTCAGAGCTGTTAACATATTCAGACTACCTAAACTGTAGAGCAACTTAAGTAATAGGCCTATTAAATAAAAAGGAGTGTTAAAACGAAATGACAGCTGAAATGCTGCAGTATTGTGATTTCGAAAATATCCACTTCCATGAAACAAACTTAGATATATAAACAGGCTCATCAACCCACTCTATTTAACTCTCTTTGCTGTTGATGATGCATGTATGTTTTTCACCAACTCTCTCACTGAAAGTCTGTTCAAGTGAAAGGAGGATTACAAAATACCAGGTAAAGTGCATCCAGTGATACTGGACAATATTCCACCCCTTTCACAGGACACCAGGAACATCATCATGGAACTGTAAATTCCACAAGTATGAGACAAGAAACAAATTGAAAGAGAGAAGTTTTGAGGGCTTAAAGAAAAAAAAAAACAACCCACAAAAACCCACAACACATTCAATTCCCAATGAGACAGAGATCTCATTAGGTATTAACAGACTTACATTGATTCTTCTTGTAACAAATTCTTCTGATGACTTAAAGTGCCAATAGTGAAAATAATGTGACACTCCAAACTACAAGAAGCATCTTTTAAATATTTGAAGACTTGTCACAATTCTCCACAGTTTTTGTTTCACAGATATAGAAACACCTTCAATTTTCCGTTGTAGGTCATGTTTTTAGACTCACAATCATTTTGTTGTGTTTCTCAGACTTACTCAGATTGGTCATATTTTTTTTTAAATGATAGCAAGCATCAGAAACAGTATTTTCATGAGGTCTTATAAATGCTGAATAGATAGAATTACTTCAGAAACTCTGCTGGGTCTATTTCCTGTTTATACATCCTAATACAGCGTGTGTGTTTTACAACAACATGACATTGTTGACTCATGTTCAGCTTGTGACTACTACAAACCCCCAGGATTGTACTTTAGCCAATTGTTTTCATACTGCATTTGTGCTGCTAATTGTTTCTGCTTAAAAGAACTACAGAGCAGTGGTGTCCATTAATTTCAGCCAATTTCTGCAATTTGAAAAGGTCACTTTCAGCTCTAATCCAAGTGTCCAACATACTTGTAGTTCTTCCCCCATGCATATCATCTGTAACTTTACTAAAACAGTCACTCATTCATCATTCAGCTTATTGGAGAAAACACTGGAAAAAACCAACAGCTGTCTGTGGAACTCCAGTTGATAAGCTTTCAATCTGACAATCAACTACTAATAGCTATTGTTGAGTTAAAAACATTAGATCAGTCTTGCACTGAATTTTCATCCAGACCAGAACATCATCACCTGCTTTTGAGAATGTCATGTGAATTTGTCAAAAATTTACTCAAGATAGCTAACATCTCTTGCTATTCTCCTACCTTGAAGACCTCTTCAACAAAGGGATTTTTCTTCAATTAGTATTTTTTTTTCAATTTATATTTAATTCCAAATTATAGCCCTGACTGTATCACAACAATTCAAAGAGAGGTCAAATGTTAATTGCAACACTCTTTAAGAAGAAAAACAGAAAAAGAGAGACAGAGAGAGAAAAACTACTTGCAGAGAATATAGGTTTCAAGGATAAATGTAAATATGTATTTTTCCTCTGTGTGTAAGTGGGGAGCCTTGCAGTGAAAAATTCCATAGTATTCATTATTAAGTTAATTTATCCTTTCATTTCCTTTACAGCACATTAACTTAAAGTGTTTGAAATTGACTTCTTGGCAATAATCCATGGCAGTGTAATTGTTTGAGGGAACAGTGCTTCTAATCAGACATGACTTGTCACAAATGCATAAGGAGATGTATCTTGGATAAAGCTAATACAATTATTTTATCAGGATCATCATTTTGCTGTTACGCATTATATTAATTGTTTATTATACACCCTTTTTCCATATACCAAACTTACTCACCACATATATACAGCTAGTATTTCTTGAAGAAGGCAGACTGGTAAAAGGAAATACATGGAATGGCACAGGGCGAAAGCCACACTATGTGTCCCATGTCATAAGGATGTTATTGCAACGCTGATATGTGAAAACTGCTTGCAGGCGAAGGAATAGCCATTTTATGAGATTACTTGCATTCCCTTTCCCAAGTTCTCTATTTTAAACCTCACGAATAGCTCCAATTTCCTCCCTTTTAGACTCCATAGGAAAAAACCCAAACAAGCATACCTAATAAACCCACCTTCCTTGAGACCAAACTTACCATGCTTGCATCAATGATCTGCCCTTTGCCAGATTTGGTGCGTTCATAAAGGGCTGTAACAATGCCCATGGCGCACATGACACCTCCACCAGCAAAATCAGCCAAAAGATTTACAGGTGCATAAGGATTTTCATCTTTTCTACCCAGCTTTGACAGCACACCTGACAGTAGAGCAAACAAAGCAAACATAAGTGTAAAATTAATTATAAACACCCATTTCTACATTTCTACAATTAAATGTTTCATCCTTTTCAATCTACGCAAGTAAACAAGGGATAAAGCAAAGCCAAGTTCTCCAAGAACTCTTCTACCAACAGTTTTTTGTCTCTACTCGGCTGTGTCTTGGCAAATAGTTACTCTTTTACGGACAAAAGAATTGAATATCTGAAATCATGTTCGTGAAGATGCATTTAATCAAAGATATTAATAAAAATCTCACAGATAAGCCATTGTCAATTTGGCTGTACATGGACAAAATTGTTAATCCAAAAAAATTTGTGTGCAGTAATTCAACATTAGTACTTTGTACATGCATAGAACCTCCCCCATAAGAATTCAACAGGCGTTACGAACATGTCTCAAAGCAACTTTGGTACATTTTTCTTCTTTGAATCTTTTAAAGCAAAAACGCAGATGTACAGTCTTCTGTGCCCATAACCCATGAATTAATAATCATAACAAAGGATTTCACACCAACAACTGTACTTCAGTCCTATCCTCCCTCTTCAACTACCTTTGGAAAAAAAAGGTTGTGTACAAGAGGAATGGGTGAGTAACACAGAAAAGTTGCCTCTGATTGCATGCAACATATACAAGGGGAACCTGTATTTATGCCAGGAGTTATGCAGAAATGGAATGGAACAGAGCAAAGGCTAAGCCAGTTTACTTCAGACGAAGCTTTGAATCTGTTGGCGTTTCTCTGCCATGCTGAACAACCTCTTTACTGTCACCTTACTCTTTGTGGTTCCCTGATAGCGATCCCCTTTGGGTCAGCAAGAAACTCTGCAGCATGATCATGTCTCTCCTATGCCTGTAGCCTAAGATCTGAGACTTGCAGCACAGATGGTCAAAATTGCCTGAGAACTGCATGATTCTGATGCACTCTTTTAGTACCTAATGGTCTAATGCACTTCCTAAGTGCAAGCAACTGAGTGCACAGTATAAAAAAGTTTCCGAAGCCTGTAGCACAAGCACAAATCCCTGTCACTGACTAAACCTCACTTTCAACAGTCTAAAGGTCGTCACAGGCACCAGCAGATTAACGTATCTGCAGTTTCTAACGCAAGCCATTTTTTAGTTAAAGAAAGCCAAAGCTCATCAGGAAAATACTCAGGAGATGACATCTCCTTTTAGAGGAATGATACCTCCCAAACATCTTGTCCTATTTCCTTTAAACAGGCAGAAAAACTTAACCTGTGAAAATTCAAGCAAAATTATTTAATTTCAGGAAGATAGCACTAACCAAAATACTACTAATTAAATAAGCTCCAGAAGAAAAAAACACTTCTTTTTGTAAACAGAAGTTATTAC